AAAAAAAAAAAAATTAAAAAAATCCTTCAAAGTAATAAAGTTGAAATTAAAAAAAAATTTTATATAAGTGAATGATCTATGTTGTATTTATTTTTAATAATAGAAAATACAGATTGAGAGTTATTTGAGCACAGATAAAAAGGTATTTAAAATTATTGGATTACTTTAAACAAAATTGAATACATTCTTTGGGAAATTTTTAGTTAACAAAAAGTATTAAATTTAGAGTAATTTCTTCCAGAACGGGTAAGGTGAAAGGTCCTAAGTAGAAGTTGGGATGCTGACGATCTGTATGCTAAACATTCAAGATAATAGTTATTTTCACTTTTTTCTTTTGTATATCCATTATTTCTAGTTTTCCTTCCATTATTATATCGTATTTGTGAACTAAACTGAAAACAGTATGTTTAGAAAAGTAAATAGCCTTGCATTTTTGAAATACGCATAATAATTAAATGATTTAGAAAACACATTTGTCATGGATCTTCAACCATCCAAATACTAATAAGGAGAAGAAAAATATTTTAAGATTCCTGTGTGGGTCGTAGAAGCACAAATTGTCTGCTAGCTAATTGAAAGGCAGCAACAGTTGTGGGACACCACCCAGCAACAGTCAATGATTTTCAATTGAATAGAAGAAATATAAATTTGATTTTTTTTCACTATTCTGTCTGAGACCATCTCTCCTTCAATCCTATACCTTGTCAATACGTTTCTAATCTTTATTTTCAGGTAGAGAAACTGAGGTTGAGCATGTAAGCCCTCCTCATGCTTCATAGCTAGTATAGGGTGAAGCAAATAACACCCCAACTAGCCCTTGATTCCCTAACCTCAATTTGTAGTTGAGGCAAATTCAGAGAAGCCAGAGTTTCCCCCATCAATCAGAGATCAAGGCAAATTTAAAAAGCAATTTAATAAAGGAAACAAATAAATACAAATAAAATGACAATTCATGTCTGTCCACACCGCATGCTTAACAGCCTCCCCAACTATGTGCCAAAAAGTCCATTTTAGCTGTTGATAATATTGACATTATTCAGATCAAGGCTTCCTCCTCAGAAGCCTGTGTATCATCCCATCATACTGATGGTGCAGGAGTTGAATCTTTTTTTTTTTTTTGCATTATTTTGAAGCTTTTTTTCACTGCATCACTGATTTGTGATTGCTAATCCTTCATGCTTTTGGCTCTGATTCTTTTTTAGTACTAACTTTGCTCTGCTGAAATTTAACCTGTGTATCTTTTATCTTGACATTATCAAACTCTTCAACACCTTCACTCATTTGGTTCTTTTTCCCCACTTCTCTGCAGGCCACTTCTATGCTCACCATGAGTCTCCTCCTATACAGATCTGGCAGGTGGGACCAGGCACTGCTGATGTTTGGAGCACTGTTCCCTTTGTCTGTTTATTATTGAATCTTGCATTTGTGGACACACCCCTGATACTTTGAGGCTTACACTCTTATGTACATTGCTATTTGCATACTGCCAGGACAGTCCTTCTTATTCATTGAAAAACATAGATGCCAAGATTAATCTTCTTGCAAAAAGTTGGCATCAGCTACCCTGCACACTGCATATTTAATATATGGTTTCTCAGATTCTTGATACTTGAATTCAGAACCATCCCACTTGAGCTTCCCACTCAAGAAGCTCCGTGTTTTATATTGTTTTATTTAGATATTGATCAGATCCTAGATATCCAAAATTGAAATGTTATCTCATTACCGCAAGCTTCTGCCCTTTTCACCTCAGTTGTGACACTACCACTTTTCACGTATTCACTCATATCACTGTTCCCTGAACCCTACTAATTAGTCCTTATCCCTCTTGTCACCTTCTCTATTCAGTCCTCCTGTGTACTATTAAAACTCTATGATGTATTGCTACAACTCTTTCTAACATCAGAAATTTTCTAGTCTTATTTTCCTTCCAGATATAACAAAATCTAGGTATTTTGAAATTATTTCTTTGCAATTTAATCCCGACAAAGAACAGCATCTAGTCAACAGTGAACTGTTACACACTTACCGTGTTCAAAATCAACTAGTCATTTACTTGACCTATTTTTCCTGGACTGAGGTTCTGTGTCTCAGTCTTTATGTAGATCTGAATTTCTTCATACTCCTCCATCACATTCCCACCATAATTCTAAGTAGATGCCACACTTACTGGCAATAGAGGGGAACTTAAAGTAATAAAATGAAAGACAAATTTTCTCAATTTCTTGTACACAAAACTTCCCAATTTCACATCTGTCTTCTCCACTTTTTTTGGACAGGGCCCTGGGAGGTGTCCTGTTTTGGTTCCCATGCTTTTCTTGATCCCCATTCTCCCTCCTTGGCTAGGTTATTAAAATTTCTCCCAATGACCTTTTTCCTCTACCTTGACCTCTTTACCTCTGTTCTTCCTTTCAATCTTCTATTCCCAGACCTCTTGGGAAAGTGACCAGTGTTCACTTCATTCTTCACACTTGTTTATTCTGATACTTTTTCTCACTATTGTAAACCAGTTACTTTCTCCAAGTTCACTAACATCCTCCTTTGTCTAAAATCAAAGACTATTTTTTTGTTTGACGTCTCTGTTACATTGAACACCAGGGATACTAACTTTGACCCTGAGAAACATTGTTTTACTGGTTTCTAAGTCATCAGAATCTCTGGGTTTGCTCATCTTTCTGTCCACCTTTAACATTCCTTGATGGTACTGCTGCTTTTCTTGTGCTTTAAGCAACATTAGTACTTAATAATTCTTTCCTAAGGCAATTTATGCTATTTTTGCACATTCATCTTGAGAGCTTTTATCTAATGCTAGAAGTATCGTTGTCACATATGCTGGTGATGCAAAAGTCTCATTATTTCTAAGCCATATTTCTCTTCTGAAATTCAGGTACACATTGTTACCCAGGCAACTTCAATTCAATACTTCAAAGGTACCCACATTTGATGTATTCAAAGAAAATTCATGTATCTAAAAACCTTCTTGCCCACTCAAATGCCTTACAGTGTGTATTTCTTAACTCAGTGAATTGCTCGATCTTCTTTGCAGTTATCAAGTTGAAAAATCAAAAGAAAACACATTTCATATATCCCTCTAACTTCTACTATTATACAACAGAACGTTGGTAATTATTTAACCTATTTTTCAAGTCTTTCCACTTCTACCACCCTCGATATTTATTTAGGCTTCCAGTTACAATTCTCCATATGATTGCATTCTAATTGCTAACTTCCCACCAGTTCTGCCACCCTCTCTGTGCATACGTCATTTTGAACTTTCTTTTTTGTTTTAGACAAAGTCTCTCACTTTATTACCCTCATTAGAGTGCTGTGACGTCACAGATCACAGCAACCTCCAACTCCTGGGCTTTGGCGGTTGTCTTGCCTCAGCCTCCTGAGGAGCTGGGACTACAGGCCCCCTCCACAATGCCCAGCTATTATTTTTTTGTTGCAGTTTGGCTGCGGCTGGGTTTGAACCCACCACTCTCAGTATATGGGGCTGGTGCCCTACCCACTAAGCCATAGGTGCAGCCCTTGAACTTACTTTTATTATTCTTCTTCTTATTATTATTGGGGATTCATTGAGGGTACAAGAAACCAGGTTACACTGATTGCATTTGTTAGGTAAAGTCCCTCTTACAATCCTGTCTTACCCCCTAACAGGTGGCCCTTGAACTTACTTTCTAACATGCAAAACTTAGCTGTGGTTTCCCATTAGTCTTGAAATAGAGTCCAAACTTCTTAGCGTCATCAATTAAATATTTGATAAAGAAGCCCTTCTTTGCAGATGGGTCTCATCCTTTGCCACGGTCTTCAGGCACGTTTCGTGCACCAGTGAGGCTTACCCCTCAGTCTCACACATGATCATAGGTTTTGCACATCATTTGGCCAGAAAACTTCTCCCTTTATCTGCACGCTTTCCTGCTGACCACTCACTATCTTCCTACTCATCCTTTAGATATGAAGTAAAATCTCACTTCCTTCTTGTTGTGTTTCTCTCAATTGTTATCCACCAGTTGTTGCATCCAACAATGATGTCACCCGTGAATTTCTCTACAAAGACACTTAAAATATCAAATTCTAGGTAAGCAAAATGATTCCATTTTCCCCCAATATTAGTAGGACTTAGAAATTAGTAGACATTCCAACTATTCTAATATATTAAACAAATGAATACAATTGTGTCCTACTATAAATACTATTTTAGGATTTTTATGATTACCTTAATTGCTTTCATTTTTTTCCCCTGTTACATGTGGATTTTGAGTAATCCTCAACAAAACTAGAAAGGGTAAAATATATGTTGAGGTAAATTCTGTAAATTCTAATAGTACTTAACATTACTTAAGCATTGGAAGTTTATTTGGTATAGTCTATCTGTCCCTCTACAATATTTTCACTCATTTACATCAGCTTAAATACTTCTGGACCAAAACTATAATGATGTTTTGCAAGCATAACCAATTATGTTATGGTTGATCATTTGGGACTTAATTTGCTTAACAGGTAAAAAAATATACACTTGAACAGCAGATCACCATGCTTAACCAAAGCATAACAAAGAATTAATAACTAATAGTGCTGGCCCCATATACCAAAGGTGGCGGTTTCAAATCCAGCCTCAGCCAGCTGAAAACAGCAGGGACAACGGCAATAAAAATAGCCAGGTATTGTAGTAGGTGCCTGTAGTCCCAGCTACTTGGGAGGCTGAGGCAAGAGAATCACTTAAGCCTAAGAGTTGGAGGTTGCTGTGAGCTGTGACACCACAGTTCTCTCCCAAGAGTAACAGAGGGAAAACCTGTCTCAAAATAAAATAAAATAAATTAATGGGAAACAATGCAAAATGTTTAGCTAGCTTGATTTACTTTTTATACTTTATTGTAGTTGCTGTTAAACTTATGAATTTTAGTAAGAGGCCAGCATATGCATTAGATCAAAGTAAATCAACTTGTTACTGGAGCTACCAAGTTACCAAGTTATTATTTGAATTGCACCAAAAATTCAACCTAGAGTCTGAAACTCAATAATCTGTTGAGCAATAATCAAATAATATTTAAATCATGAACTCCTATTGGCCTGCAGGTACATTTAGTTCAATCTCAGAAAATTGTTTTCTGAAAGTTCTGTAAAGAGGAAAATAATTTACAATGGCCTTGAATTTGTTGCCTTAATTCTGTTGAAAAGCATTGAAAGACATGAAAATCATGGAAAAATTAACATTCTGTTTCTCCATTCTAACAAACTGTTCATTTGTATTCCACACAACTATGTAAATTTAAACTGATAAACAGAAAGATATGTAGAGGAAAAGTTATAGACAATTGTTCACTTTAAAAAACAACAGAAAGGGTAAGGAAAATGAAATTCAGTTGTATAAATGTAAATATTTGATCCGAAAATTTCTATTCTGATTTTTCAAAATACCATCCTGCCTAGCAGAAATGAAAACAACTACAAAAACCATCTTAAATAAGAATTATATGGAAAGTCATCATATTGTTTTGGATTTTTTTTCATATTACTATGAGGGTACAAACATTTAGGTAACATTGTTTTCATCTCTATATTTTCATGTTGTAGTTAAGTCTAAATAATCTGCAATGATTATATTAATAATTTTCCTCCATTTTGAAAGAATTATGAAAAATCTTGTAAGATGACTGCGTAATTATAACTACGGGCTTTGGAGAATCTGTTCATCAACTGCTTTAGATTTTCCATCTGCCCAAATGACAAAATTCAATTTTTGGATTTCTTCTTAATGCTAATTTAATCTTTTTTATTATTTTAAGTTAATATGGGGGTTCAAATGTTTTTGACAATACAGATCATTTTGTAATGCTTGAGTAAGGGTTATAAATGTGCCTGTCACCCTGATAGTGTTATTGTACCTGTTAGGCACATTTTCAACCACAAATCCCTCTTTCCCTTGAGTTCTACTCTCCCCTATGCACATGTGTGCTCACCAGTGAGTTTCAATTTACTAGTGAGTACATATGGTGGGGTTTTTTTTTCATTCTTTAGATACTTCACTTTGGAGAGTGGTCTCCAGTTCTGTCCACATTCTTCCAAAAGGCATCATTTCATCTGTTTATGTAGCTGCGTAGTATTACATGGTATACATAGTCCACATTTCATTAATCTTATCATGAATTAATGGGCATTTGGCGTTGATTCCACAACTTTGGAGTTGTGAGTTTTGTCGCAATAAACATTGACAAGCTAGGGTCTTTTTGATAAAATGACATTCTTTTTCTCCTTTGGGAAAATACCCAGTAATGAGATTGATAGATCAAATGGTCGGTCTACTTTTAGTTCTTTGAGAAATACCTCTGCTATCCATACTATTCTCCATAGAGGACATACTGATTTTCAGTTTCACCAACAGTGTCTAAGTGTTCTTGTTCTCTGCATCCACATCAGATCTATTGTTTCTGGACTTTTGAATAAAAGCCATTCTAATCATTGTGGTTTTAATTTGCATTTCTCCGATGATTAGCATTGGTAAGCATTTTTTCACATGTTTATTGACCATTCATCTATCTTCTTTTGAAAAGCATGCTAATTTAATATTTAAGAATTACAGTTTTTTTAAATGTCATCACTCTTCATTTAGTTACATCACTGCATGAAACATATACCCTATACCTTAGTGGTATAAACCAATAATTTTTATTTCCTTTCTTGTTTTTTGGGTTAACTAGACAGTTCTCCACGTGGTCATAACTGGGTCAGTGAGAAAACTGGTCATGTTCCAGGTGACCTCAACTACATGGTTGACATTTGGGAAGTCTGTATGCTGGGATATTTTGTTTTATCCATGTGAAATCTCTAAGCATCTACTTGGGCTTCCAACAGCACAAGTTAGGGTTCGATAAACTTTAACGAACCAAAGCAGTGGCTGTCACGAGGGCCAGAGTTTATGGGGGACAGAACCACACATGTGAGTGAATGCAGATAAAGAGATTCATTTCAGATGATTCAGTAGTAATCTACAACAGCCATAATATTTCTGAGTCTTCTTTAACATACTTAAAAAAATGACACATTGGATCATTAGTCAGTGTCCAAGAGTGAACACAAATTTTAAATTCAAAAGCATTTGGTCCCTAATCTTGACTTTTGTCACATATAAACTATCTATACTTAAGCCAGTAACCTATTCTCTTCATGATTCACTTGTTTATAAAATTGAGGTAATGCCCAGCACACAGACTTACTATAATATTTTAACTTGGGAAAAATATAAAAGAATGACACAAAGTAACTTTATCCAGAGGGCCAGATAACTATATCCTTGCCCTCATATCAGGCTTCTCATGTAATAGTGAAGGTTTGTCTCCATCAAAGAACACCCACAATGGCCAGAGGAAAACGAGGCACAGTGTAATCCTTACAGTTATTTTCATTTGCTTCTCACAAGTAGAATGATCAGTTGATGAAATCAAATACTGAAAGTCAATGAAAATATACAGCATCTTCAATATTGATTAAAATTGAGAAAATCAATCAGTGAAAAATGGAACAAAATTAATTCATCATGGAACAGTTCTCTCACCCAATAAATAAAACACCTGGAACATAGGTTTTCAACACAGGCAATTGCCTTTTTTAGGGTAACAGGCAAGTTAAAAAAAAAAAGCTGGCCGATGCGGTGGCTCATGCTTGTTATCCCAGCACTCTGGGAGGCCAAGGCAGGTGGATTGCCTGAGTTCTCTGGTTAGAGACCAGCCTGAGAAAGAGTGACACCCTGCTTCTAAAAATAATAGTTGGTCATTGTGGTGGGCGCCAGTAGTCCCAGCTACTTTGAGGTTGAGGCAAGAAAATCACTTGGGCTCAAGGGTTTGAGGTTGCTGTGAGCTATGATACCACACTACCAATGGCAACAAAGTAAGACTCTGTCTCAAAAAGAAAGAAAGAAAGAAAGAAAGAAAGAAAAAGAAAGAAAGTAAGTGTTATTAAGCAAGAACAATTGGAGGAAAAACACAAATTCTCAAGCCTCCTATAAATGGATTCAAAAAATTATCTTTTTGATACATGAACTGGTATCAGCTAAATGGCTAGTTGAGATTAATAAAAAAAAAACAGGTGATAATCAAAATTTATAGATCAGGCACAGTGGCTCATGTGTATAATCCCAGGGGTCTGGGAGGTAGAGGCAGGTAGATTACCTGAGCTCAGGAGTTGGAGACCAGCCTGAGCAAGAGCAAGACGTCATCTCTACTAAAAAATAGGAAAAACTAGCCAGGTGTTGTGGCACCTGTAGTCCCAGCTACTCAGGAGCTTGAGGCAAGAGGATCACTTGAGCCCAAGAGTTTGAGTTGCTGTGAGCTGTGACACTACAGCACTCCACCCAGGATGGCAGAGTGAGACTCTGCTTCAAAAATAATAATAAGAAGAAAATACATGAAAAGAATTTATGGATTACTGACCTACAAAGTATATTCAGACTCAGGTGAACATAAAGTGTAGATAAAGAATCTCAAGATTTGGAATATTTTTGTGCACTTTCATAAAAATTTAAAATCATCACACATCATGTAAAAACCATTATTAAATACAATCCCCAAACATGCCAGCAAAATAGTATGAAGGCTAAAACAGAAGGAACGAGCTCGCATACACACAGGCACACACAGAAAGTCTCCCGTGAACACTACAGATTTTACTGCAGTAGCCGACAAAACCCTAAAAGACCTCTGCCATGTCCTCTGTGATTACCACTGTCCCCCACTGCCACTTAAGGAATAACTCTCCTTGTCTCTTTTTTTAGCTTTTCAATCTATATTAATCTCTCACATTTTACTGTTCTAGAAAACTGACTTTGAATATAAGTCATCTATACCTCTCAGCAAGATAAAGATTTAAAATGTTTTGTTTATTGATTTCTTTACAGCAATTAGAAGAGACTATCATCAGTCAAAAAATTTATGTGGAATGCATTTGTGCTTATTCTTTCTGAAGTCATGCAGAGCAAATGTGGAAGCCTATATCTAATTTATAGGAATCATGTTCTGTGAACATTTAATGCAATATGTTACATACGGTATTCCACATCCTCTGCAGGGCATATTTTACGTCTTTGTTCCTCAAGCTGTAGATCAAGGGGTTCAACATGGGGATAACGAGAGTGTAAATTAAGGAAGCCACTTTATCAGTGTCTACGGAGTGACTAGACTTGGGCTGCACATACATGAATATCAAAGTCCCATAGAAGACTATGACCACTGTCAGATGGGAGCCACACGTGGAGAAAGCCTTGTGCCTGCTCTCGGCAGAGTTCATCCTGAGAACCGCTGTGAGGATGAGCAGGTAAGACACGAGAACTATAAGAAGGGATGAAATCAAATCAAAAGCTGCTAAGATCAGAATTATCAATTCAATTTCATGTGTATTTGAGCAGATCAAAGATAATAAGGGGAGACTGCCACAGTAGAAATGACTGATAACATTGTAGCCACAGAAGGGTAAAGTAAAAATCTTGATGGTCACCAGAAGAGACACAAATGTGCAGTAGAGATAGGGGACTGCCACCAGCAGGTGGCACCCCTATGTGACATGATAACAGTGTACAGGAGAGGGTCACAGATGGCCACGTAGCGGTCGTATGACATGGCTGAGAGAATAAAAAGTTCGCTGATGATGAACAGAAGAAAGAACGCCAGCTGGACAGCACAGAAATGATAGGAAATTGTATTCTGATCTGCAACAAAGTTTACCAGCATTTTAGGTCCCACGGTCGTGGAATAACCAAGATCAGTGAGAGCCAAGTGTCTGAGAAAAAAGTACATGGGTGTTTGGAGCCTGGAGTCCACCTTGGTGAGGATGATCATGCCCAGGTTGCCCACCACTGAGATCACATAGATGGTGAGAAGCAGGACAAATAATGGAGCCTGCAGCTCAGGGCGCTCCGTGACTCCCGTCAGAATGAACTCAGTCACCTGGGTTAGGTTGTGCTTTTCCATCCAGGTTTACCAGAAGAACTAATCTGGACAGAGACATTGCATAGTCAGTGGCTCTGCTGCATTAGCACCTGGAGATTTTCAGTACGCAAAGCTAGTATAGATAAGACACATCCCCATTTCCCAATTCATGATATTTAAAAATAAACCAAACTCTCACAAATAAAAATATGTACATCCAGAGTTTGAGACAGAGCAGTAAATTGGGTTTGATTTTACTCACAAAACAACATTTTGTAAGGTCTAGAATTACTTCTTTCGGTCACAATTTAGATATGGGCTGTGATTTAACTCTAATGTTTACAAAACCAGTAAACTGCTAAACATTCTACTATGATCAATATCCAGCCTGTCACATTATTCAGCCCAAAATCTCAGTAAAGCTAAACAGATAGGTAAACAGATGAGAACTAGATAGAGATGGATATCTATATAGATACATATACATAGATGTATAAAATAAACATTTTTAAAAAGTTAAAATGCTAAAATGCTGAGAGTTTGATGTATGAATGATTGCTGTTCTGTTTTTACAGTATTCCATATGATTGTAATCACATATTACAGTTATAAATTATATTTAATAATATGGAATAATGTAATCTCAGGTTTATTTATAAGATTTCAAGCCTCAACTAAAAAAAATGCATAAAACCACTTACTTCAAGATAAAGTTGTTTGGGAACTCTTATCCAAACTGGTGGCACAGCTGCAAATTTGATACAGTTGGCAGATACTGCAAAGGTGTATGACTGAGAAAATCATAACAGATCATGGTGGCAGTTAATTTTGTTTATATATGAAGAAGTACTAGGATATAGATGTATATGTATGCATGTAAATACGTGTGTATTCTATCTATATCTTAATGCATGTTATGTTCAAAGGATTGCTTTAGGCATTAGAGTAAGTCATCTAAAACTATTCTCATATTCAAAACCAACATGTTCTTGCAGGGTGGTCTGTAAAGTTAAGTGAGGATTAAATGACTCACTGTCCCTGTCCTACCTAAAAGTAGTTCTCAAATATCAAGTATAGAGTGTTTTGTTGTTTTCTTTTGTTTTGGTTTTTGAATTGTAACAACACCTTACCTGAAAGAAGTTTTCTTGGCATGTGTGCATGAAAATTCTGAATATGAGTTGACTCCTTTGCCAAGACCATAATGCTGCATAGGTGAGGAATAGGCTAGTAGGATGCAATCCTTGCAATTTATCCCACGTCTTACACCCTACCTATACGCTGTGACTAAAGTCGGGCAAAGAATGTGCTATTACTTTGATTACTCATCTTCTATTTTTACAACTCTGTTGATAACATTTTAAAAAGTTAATAATTTATAAATTATTTTGACAAAAATTTGCCAAACTATAAATCTTCCTGCAAGAGCATGATCACTATCAGTAAACAACATTAACTTGTTCATGATAAAAGTTAAATGTACTTTATCGTGCAAGATCTTAGTGAGGGGAGTATAAGGAAATCAGAGCAAACTGAGAGAAAGAATGGTCATTGGTATTGGTTTTGTACAATGAAAATTCAAGAAAATCCTCCTAGGGATAAAGGGATACAAGAGACTAAAGAGAAAAAAATGATTGAAAATCACTACATTATACAATACCATAAAAACAAATTGAAACATACTAAGAGGTCAAGTGCAGAGGCTCAGGCCTATAATCCTAGTGCTCTGGGTGGCCAAGGCAGGTGGATTGCTTGAGCTCACAAGTTCGATACCAGCTTGAGCAAGAGTGAGACCCCAGCTTTACTAATAATAGAAAAACTGAGACCAGAGGATCCCTTGAGCCCAAGAGTTGGAGGTTGTTGTGCATTATGATGATACCCTGGCACTTTACCCAGGGCAACAGCTTGAGACTCTGTCTTGAAAAAACAAACAAACAAAAAGATAAAACAGAAAGAAACAGACTAAAGATGAGATATACCTAGATTTCTGGTTATGATTTGAAATGTTTCTGGGCATTTAGGCCACAGAAACTTGGAACTATGGTGTAGCATATAAAGCAGATAAGCATGTGTGTAATGAAATAACATGTATTTAAGTTCCCTAATAACTCACAGACTTAAAATATATCAGGGCAGGAGATAGAAGACAAGGTAAGGGTAAGAGAATTATTGGTTTAAAAAATGGGGACTCCAATGCTTCCTTAAAAGGTGGGGAAATAATACCATGTACAAGGAAAATTGCAGTAACAGCAAACTCTGAGTGATCTATAAGCAAAATAAACACACACAATTATGTAATATTAAATATGAAGGTTATATATAATTTTAACTTAAACCAATTATAATATATCTCAGGAGATTATGCTCTCCAGATATCCCATCCTGACCCTATGAACATATCTTTCTTATGTTAGTAGTACAGAAATATCTGCCAGTAGATAGTAATAGAAAAATATATTTACCAAATATATTGTATTGTAAAACAATAAAAATAAACAAAATACTACATATTGTTCAATAAGGAACATAAATGGATTTTTTCTCACCATCTTTTGAGTTCTGTGGAAAAATCGGGTAGCTTTTTTTTTCAAATTTTACTTTCTTTGTTCAATATTGATTGTATTTTTTTAAAACTATACTTTTTGATAAAATTGTATTATGCTTTTTGTCAAATCCCATTGGAAGCTGAGCTACAATTTGAATATTTCTGTGTATTTTACCATAAAACTGAATACTTAAAAATCTCCTGATCTTGCAGTAACGCTCTTCACATGTGAATATAAGGTATTAACACCCTTTTTCCTCATCAGGATGTGAAAAAAAATCGTATTTACGTATTTGTTTTAACAATTATTTAGTATTAAATTATTCTTAAGAGAATCACAAGGAAGACTAAGTATTTGAAAAGATAAGAACCTGAGTTTACAACATAGCCACAGTCTTTTCATTCTGCCATTTAAACAATATTCATATCCTTTTAATTGTGCTTCATTTGATCTCAGTTTTGTCTGCAATTAGAGAAAAATTATTGACGAAACACACATATGAGTAATACAATGATGATATTTCAAAGATTCTTATGAGCATTCAGCCTATTATACCATATAAAAACATATAAAAACTTTATAGGAAGGAAAAAAAGGAGAGGTCTTATTTTTGCTCAGGTATTATTGAGTAATAGAAAGCTCAGAACACTGAGTTAGAAATAGTCAAACTTTGCTACGGCTGTGCAATCAAACTGAAGTGGAATTTTACAGGGTCACTGAATTATTGATATTTATAACATAGGGCACCCTTTGAAACATTTTTCCTGTTTTTACCTGGAATAAAATCTCTGTCTTCCTCTCCCATGTATTTCTCATACAGCACAGTGAGAACAATTTATAGATTTTCTTGGAAAAAAGAGGAGGTGCCTAGGCATTGTGGATTTCTCCCAGAGGCAGTGCCAAACAATTTGTTGGTAATCCCCCAAACACACACCAAAATGCCCAGAGGCCATCCATTAGTTGTCAAGGACTGTTTATGTTCACTGGTGTGCTCGGGTGCGTCAGAGAAACAGAACATGAGGCCTTAAAGAACCAGGGAATCTGGGGCTGTAGATCCTAGTCTGAATTGAAAGGCAGAAGCTGGGAGACCAGCATCTGATATCAGGGGAAGGAGGATGTCCAAGCTTAAGCAAGGAACAAACACACCCTTCCTCTGCCTTTAGGTTCTACTTAGGACCTCAGATGATTAGATGAAGGCCAACTCCACTGTGTTCTGTGCTTAGGTTTCCCATTCTAATCTGTTTCAGAAGCACCCTAACATACCCAGAAATAATGTTTACTAGCCAGCTGGGCATCATAGTGGCCAGTTAAGCTGACACATACAACTAATCACCATTTGTCTACCCCTCGTCAGCCTGGCACCCACCTGCACCTCCCTAAGCTATACTTAATCTCCAAATAAAAACAATGACAAGTTCATAGTTCTGCTTTACATTATACAGCTATCCTGAATACATATGAAAACTCATTAATCCATTGCTCAGAAGACCAAGTATCAATATATTCCTTTAGTGATGTCTGCTTCTCTCCTGATAGCCCTCGACTAAAATTCTATGATGTAAAATTTACAATATTTAAATACTGACACAATGTCCATCTATCTTATGGTATATAATAAAGGAATAAGAGAGGAAAGAAAATATATTTCTTTAATATGTGTACACACACACACACAGATATGAGTAACAAAATCGGGAGGGTATTTTCATGGCAGTTACAGTCCTCATTTCTGTTCCTGGTAATGTGGATGCAGTGGTATTTGTAACCATTTGCTTATACTACCTATGCTACATTGCCTTTGCTTTTAGGGGGAATCTCAGCTGGTCAGGGTTCTTTTCCTCATGGCGTTGACCCAAACCTTCCTTCCCGAAGGGTTTGAGCCATTGCTAGCTCTTCTTGGTTTGGGCCACTGTTGTTTTCCAATGGACTTACTCACATGGCGTGGTAATACTGAGATGCCAAGGGATGCCCTGTGTTCAGACTTGATCTTCCTTATCTGCCTTAGGAAGTAGTAGCCGTTTCTCCTCGTGAGTCAGGGTCATCCACCTTCAATCCCTTCTTTGCCTGTATATTTGCCTGTATACATGAGGAGCCCAACATGGCTAAGTAACAGTGTCAGCATCCAGTTCAGTGGAATCATTCTGGGGGAAGCATTTGTTCCTCTGAAACCGAGACCTACAGGCCAACAGAGCTTAAAGTCAACAGAACAAGAAGCAAAATGTTTGCCACTCACTGAGGGTGAGTGATGCCACTCCCATCGGCACCTCTTCATTTCTGGAGCCTTTAAACTGGGCTAAGGTGGGGGGGGGGGTCAAACCAAACTATAACCAAGCCAGAGAAGTAAGCGAACAGATAAAATAGGAACATAGTTTGAAGGCCAACTCAAAGCATTTACAACCTTCTCAAGTACTTCCCTTCCTTATTGCCACCCAGCTGGACTCATAGTGATTCTGTAAATGGCCACCACACTTTTCCATTGAGCCATCTTTCTTAGGTGAT